AAGATGGAGACCCCTCCATCTTTACCACCTCACCCAACTTCTCAGCCTGGCGAGCTCCTATAATCAAGTCAAGGGCCAAATGCCATCTCCTCTGCAAAAGCTTTCCTGAACTTCCCGAGCAGAATTAATCTACCTCTGTGTTTCCACAGCCAGCATGTAAGTGACACAGCACTGCTCTCTGCACATTGCAATTTTGAACTCCCATCTGCTCCTTTGTTAGAATGTGATGTGTATGTATTCATAGTGCTCTAGAACAGTCGGCACTTTGTAAACATTTGTTGAGGGAGGGGAGCAGGAGAGCCTGTAGGCTGGACTGCAAGCAAATTCTGCTAGAATGTGAAAGAAGAGATTATTATATGTGGAGTGAAGGAGTTTGGAAACGGAAAAACAACAACAACAACAAAAAAAGCAAAACAAAGAAAGCAGCTTATTGTGTGTTAGCCATCTTTGTGTTTCTGCTCAACTTCCTGGGCAATGTCCTACTTTTTCCAGGCTTGCCTGTCATTGGCTGGGATGTGGGACTGAGACTGGCCAATGGAGGCCGGGCCCCCAAGACCTCTAGGACAGTCTCCGTTCTCTTTCCACATCTGTGGATGCAGAAGGGCCATGGGGCACTGAGGCTCTAGGAAATGGTGGAAGCACTAGCCGGGCGGGAGCGTGGGTTCCCACAGACAAGAGTGTCTGCAAACAGCTAACCAGGCCGTAACAAGAGGGGGAAATTAGCCTCACATTGTGTTAAGCCAGTGAGATGTGAGGGGCGGTTACGACAGCGTGAACTCCCCACAGCTGCACTACCAAACGGGCCACGTCCAAGATGCCCCACTTCTCACTGCCCAGTGTCCAGCCCATCTGCTAAGTCACAGGAAGCATTCTCAGGAGTGTGCCTAACAGTTGTGCAAGGGATTAAATGCAGTCTCTGATGTGACTACACAGACATTTAGGGAAAGGAATGAGGTTCTGGCCTCACACTGTTAAGAGTCTCACTCCCCTGGCCCCGACAAACCAAACAAGCCCAAACCTGGCCACTTCACCCCCAAGCTACTGCCTTCTCCCGGCTCGGCTCATCTCAAGGCCATCACCGTTAAGACTCCATTCCATCTTACTGCCTGAGCATCAGGCATCCAAGTGCCCTCCCTGCTGCCCACCCCACTCCCAGCCACCACGGCTCTCCCGAGCCGGCCGATAACCTCCTAGCCACAGATCCCGTATCTCTTCAGCTGTCCTCTCCTCAGCTCCTGACAAGGGACTCCTTCCTCTTTGAACTCATCCTGAATTCTACACTGTCCTCCCCTCCAACCCCCTCCCTGGTCCCTCCTCCTCATCTCCAGCTCCCTAAATCCACGTTCAACAAGACTGTGTTCCTGCTCCCTCCTCCCTCACATTTTCTTTGCGTGGGTTGTCATCTTTGGTCTCTTTCTAGGATTGATTTTCCCATTTCAGGTGGACAACTCCCTGTTTCATTTGCATCTCGTTTTTCTACTTTTTTCCTGTGACAACCTCATCTGTCTATGTTCATGACTCCCATGCATGCCATGATCTCTTTACAGCTGCCTTCCAGACTTTTCTACCGCACAGCCTGTGATACCTCAAACTTAGTAACCCCCAACCACCAAACTCATCACCTGGTCTCTCCACAGTTTTCTTTACTCCTCAGAAGAGCACTGCCACCCTCTCATTCACTGGGTCCAAAGTCATCGTTGACTCTCCCTTCTCTCCCTCCACACTCAATCAACAATTCAGGCCTTCATTACTTCTTGCCTAGGACATTGTTAAAAGCTTATCTCTAGGGGTGCCTGGGTGGCTCGGTGGGATAAAGCCTCTGCCTTCAGCTCAGGTCATGATCTCAGGGTCCTGGGATCGAGCCCTGCATCGGGCTCTCTGCTTGGCAGGGAGCCTGCTTCCTCCTCTCTCTCTGCCTGCCTCTCTGCCTACTTGTGATCTCTCTGTCAAATAAATATAATCTTTAAAAAAAAAAAAAAAAAGCTTATCTCTAACATTCTCTGTCAGGTTCCAGTCAGAAAAACAGAAACTACACTAGGCTTTCTGGTTTTGTTTTGTTACTGTTTTTTAACAAAGAGAAAATAACAGAGGGAATTGACTAAGTAGGTGCTAATACTTTTCAAAAAGTAAAGAGGAGCACACTGATTTAGCACAGAGATGGGACCTGCAGGAAGCAGCCACGATGCCTGGGGCTGAGAAGAGATGGGAGCACCCTAATTCAGATGCCTCCGGGGGTGGGGAGTCAGACCTCCCAGCAGAGAGCCCTGTCTGTTCTTGCTGGGGCTTCTAAGAGAGGAAGAGGGAGGTGGCTTGAATGTGGGAGAAAAGCTAGACCCTGACTCCAACTGTCACCATCAGGGTGAAAGGCCACTTCACAACCACAACACTGAGAGGACGCACTGGCAAGAAGAATGGAGTTAAGTCTCTTCTCCCCTCCTCCTTCTCTACTGGCAGAACTTAATGGAAACTCAGCTGACAAGGAAAACTATAGTTTTGAGAATCCTAGTCCCCAGACACAGGGTATGGAAGAGTGAATATGGCACATTTCCTTACCTCTAGTCAATTTTCCAAAGATTTCTGAATGAATAGCATTTCTTGAGCATTTTTATGGGCCAAAGCACTTTCTATGTTATTACATATTTAATCCTCATCACAACGTTTAGAGGTATCTACTATACCACATCATACAAATGAGGAAACTGGAGCATTATAGAGGTAAGTCATTTGTTTAGAGGTAAAATGCACATATAACTGGCAATTCCAGGACTCAAACCCAGGGTGTCTAGTTATTAAACATCAACTCTCAAACTTTTTTTTTTTTTTTCCCCAAACTTTCCCACCAACATGAACCTGAGGAAAACACCACAATGGAATGGTGGGGACAAGAGTCCCTACATAAATGATTCTCAAACTGTATCATATATAAGAATCACTTGGGGAGATAAACCATAAGAGACTCTCAATCTCAGGAAACAAACTGAGGGCTGCTGGAGGGGAAGGGGGTGGGAGGGATGGGGTGGCTGGGGGATGGACATTGAGGAGGGTATGTGCTATGGTGAGTGCTGTGAATTGCTGTGAATAAAAATATAAATGAATCACGGACCTATACCCCTGAAACAAATAATACATTGTATGTTTAAAAAAAAATCACTTGGGAACCTGATAAAAACTGAGATTCCAAGACTCACTCGAGGAATCTGAATTTTATTTTATATTTTTAAGGATTTTATTTATTTGCCAGAGAGAGCGAGCGAGAGCGCGAGAGCAAGCGCACAAGCAGGGAGGATGGCAGGCAAAGGGATGGCTGAGCAAGGAGCTGGTTGTGGGACTCTATCCCAGGGTCCTGGAATCATGACCTGAGCCGAAGGCAGACGCTTAACCCACTGAGCCACCCAGGCGGTCCAGGAATTTGAATTTTAAACAAGTGATCCCCAGACACCACCCCCATCACTATCGCAGGCCTGTTATTCTGATGTAAATCGTCTATGGACCCCAATTTGAGAGTAATTACTTGGCAGGGGTTGGTGAGACCAGACAAGATGATATAAAAAGACTTTTTATTGACAAGTGAGTAAAGAAATAGCTCCTTATTGCTCACTTAAATACAGCTCATTAGCTTAACATTCAGGGCCCCTGGAGATCTAGTCCAAATCAACGAGTCCAATTTACTGACCAAGCTCCCCACTTTAAACATCCTGGAGACCCAGCCTGTCATGGTTCTAACCATACTTTAAACTCTCCCATTGTCTTCACTATGTGAGAAGGCCTTTCCCTTCCAACTCTGTATTTCCCAAATAAATATCACTGAAAGACCCTTTCTAATGCCATATCGTCCATAAACACTCGACCACATCTACTGAGACTCTCTCCAACCTCTAAACTCTAACAATATTTTATTTGTACCCCTCTTATGGCTTTTCATATTTTCTACATTATAATATAGGCTCATTTATCTTAGCTTTCCTCGAGACTGCAAGCTCTGTGATTAGTATGCCCAATTACATGTTTTATGGTCAGAAAGACCTATCATGGTACGCAATGTATAAATCTATGGAATAATTTAAATTAATGAAATGTGTTTTCCTTATTATATATCAATTATAAAGGCTGGAATATAGTAGTTTGGAAGGTGTGAGGCAGGGTATTTGAATTTTAAACAAGTGAGCCCCTGCCCCATCCCTCTAATTCTGATTAAATGGTGTATGGACCACAATTTGAGAATACTTTTGTTTCTCAAATTGTTTTGAGAGTTTGAAGAGAGAGAGAAAGGGAAAGGGTATAGCTTGAGAAAGTCCTTCTGTCCCCCCAGCTAAGAATCAGCCTTCAAACAATTATGATCACACCATATCCTGCTTAAAAACCATTCATTCATTCAATGAATTTAAATGTTTATTGAACACATACAGTGTGTCAGACAGTATTTGAGGTGACTGGTGCTCTAGAGTGGTGACCCCATTTAGTATCTAAGTGACCCTGGAGAACACATGAACTTCTTTAGGCTTTAGTTTCCTTATTTGCAAAGGCTCTATAGAGGAAAGAACAGATCCTTGAAAAACTGAAAGGTCAGTGTGGTTAGAGTATAAAGCGTGGTCCAGAGTTAAGACTGGAGGTCATGATAAGAACCTTTATCCCAAGAGCAACAGAACCTTAAGGAATGGTTTTCAGCAGGAAGGGGCCATGCCAGGGCATTTATATACAAACCAAGAGTTAAAGTTGAATTCATTTCTCCTCCAGAATAAGGGAAATCAGCAATTACAATCACATCAGTCCAATATTTTGAGGATACTAAGTAAAAGAAGTAATTAATCTTTAAGACTTCCTCTGTTCAATTTTCTAAGTTTTTTAAGATGGAAAACTAAATTAGATCTTGCTTACTGGTGTTAACAGTGAGTTCAACTCATTCCTGGAACTGTGAATCAGTTTCTTTATGTCCTATATACACCTTTTCTCATTTTAAGATTCTAAAAGTGTTAAGTGTCAGAAATGAAATCTCAACTACAAAAAAAAAAATTTATTAAGTGTGAAAGCATAACAGGTACATCTATTTAAATATTTTTTACATATTTATAGATAAAACAAACAAATAATTTATCAAAAATTACAAGTTTAAAGAATAGTACTAGTTTGAAACAACCAATAAAGTATTTGAAAATACCACATTTTATCCATAATTACTGAATATTATCTCCAAAAAAATGTAACTTGTGTTTTCTTGTGAAAAATATAAGTTTTTTTAGATGTCTGCCAAGATTGCTCAGGAACAGTCCATCTTGCTAAATCTAAAAGTGTAATGCCTTTATTGAGAACTTCTGTTTTTACCAAATAGCTTTAAAAAAAACACCTGCATTTTCCTTTGGACTTAGGTGAACTCTGAATCTCCACTTCACTTGCAGACCACAGGGCATCAACATAAACACAAGTAGGTCAGAGTGAGAGTCTGGGGTCGCTTTTCTTAAACGGAGCGAAGGACCTTCTCCTTCGCTGGGTGGAAGACCATGGTGTATTGTGACGTCCAGTCCACGGCACAGGGCTTCACCAAGCCAAAGCAGCCACACTGAAAGAAATCTGCGAGGTTCTGCGTGAACCCAAGGCTGCCAAGGAAGGAAGAGAACACATCTTACTACATTTCCTGTTTGGACATTCATTCAGACCAGAAACATTCACTGAGAATTTATAACAGATAAGGTGCTTTGAAGATCCTGAAGCAGGAATCCAGCGGTGATCAGACAGTTCCCTGGCTTAGAGGACGTTAAAACTAAAGCCCACGTCCATTTCCGGACCTCAGTCCTGATTCTGAGATTCCCTGGCTTCTGCCCAGCAACTTGATCTCCTTCTGAGTCCCCCACTCACTGGAATGGTGGGGCCATCAATAAGTGTCTTGCTTTCCATTCCCATTGCCCTGATTCGCATTTTGATGATCTCAAAGGCCAGATAGGCCAAAAGAATATAGTCAACAAACTGGTTTTTTTCCTAAACTTTTTAAGTAAAATAGGGCCCTGTCTCGATTCCTCGCAATTATTCCTTTTTTTTTAATAGTCCAGAGGTCTTTCGTCTTTTTTTAGACCTATCATACCAACAATTCAGAGGGAATGGGTTCCAGCAGCTCAGGCTCCTTTCCATCGGTTCTTAGAAAGTGCAGCACTGGCTGAAGCAGGCTAGCCCTTCAGCTGAACCCAAGTACCTTTCTCCTTGACTTCCTTCTTCTGATCAGTTTCCTCCACATGCTTCAGGAAGCCATCTCAGCTCTTTGAGTGCCTCATGAGCTCAGTACATACATTAGTTCTCTTGCCAAGAATCTGGCCCTTGTGTGTGTACACTAACAGCTGGGGGACGCCGTAGACTCCTGCAGTTCCGCCGCGGTCACATTTGTTGGGCATAGCTTTCTGAACGGTGCTCACTGCCTTGATGTCTACAGTAACACTTTTTTTGTAGATTTGCATGTATGTGGCCAAAGGAACACCTCTCTTTTTTCTAAAAGGTCTAGAGAACATACAGTGGGTGTTTCTCCTCTTTCCCTTGGTGCTGGTCATTTTGGCAAACTGCTAGAAGGTGGTGGTTCCAGCTAAAGGGAAGGAGCTCCTTCCCAATTAATCTTACCTATTGGACACTGTCTGGTCCTCCAAAAACCTTATCAAAACCGAACCCCTGGGCACCTGGGTGGCTCAGTTGGTTGAGCAACTGCCTTCAGCTCAGGTCATGATCCCGGAGTACTGGGATCGAGTCCCGCATCGGGATGCCTGTTCCACGGGGAGTCTGCTTCTCCCTCTGACCTTCCCCCCCTTCTCAGGCTCTCTCTCAAGTGGATAAATAAAATGTTTTTTAAAAAAAAAACCTAACCCCCAATACACATTAGAACTTATTTGTGCATGAGGATGACTGGGCCATTGCTGCTGCTGGGAGAGCTGTCAGGAACGTATCGTCACCACTCCTCAAGAGAGCGGCTCCAAAGCTAGTTAGTGAGTAAAAGTAACTTGGGCAGGTTTTTGGAAGCAAGACGCAAAGTAGCTCTAAGGCTTTCCCATTAGTTCTTCCAGCGTATGTTGCCATTACTCAGTAATTCCCACACATGCCCCGGTTCTCTCAACTCAGGCCCTTCATTTGGGCTCTTTAGGGCTTGAAATCCCTGTCTGTCCTCCTCCATCAGGCCCCACCCCACGTCTTTCAAGGCTCAGCTGAAAATTTTACCTCAGTCACAAAAGGCTTTCATCCTCTAGTGGAGTCAATATTTATTCCTCGGGTCAACTACTGGGAAAGGGACTTTACTATCATTGCCAGTCTGAACCGATCACCACAAGCTTGGCACCACCGGCCACCCTCCATCACCTTAGCCATCTCTTCCCAATTAAGTCAATTCCTCTCCCTCTAAACACAGATCATAGTCCCTCCCAGACTCTGATCTCCTTGTCTAACAGCCTAACAGTTTCATCTTGTACCACGAGTGTGCTTTAAAATAGACTGCTCATGAGATACGCAAGTGAGCGTTAAATCCCCCGAGGGCTCAGGGTGACCTCCGCAGCACTCCCAGCCTCCAAGACCCCGATATATATGACAGGAAGATAAGCTTCAAAGCCTGATCGTTCATATCGTAGGATGACAGCCTTCCTACAAACACTCTCATTTTCAACTGAGGACAGGTTTTATACAACCAATGCTCTGGAGGAAACACGCCCCAAACCTGAAGCAGCAGCTTCCGCCTGACACAGATGGGTTCATTAAACACAAGGCTAAAAGAATTACGGGTGAGAGAAAGGCAGGTGGAAAATCTTGGCAAACCTCACAACCTAATGCTTTCTGCAGAGAGCCCTGTGGCTGGAATTCTCGGCCACATGCTTGGTTATCTCACATTGACTTCAGGCCAGCAACACGAAATCTTATGACCATGTGGCTTGACTGGAGAGATTCCCCACCTTGGCAAAACTTCAAAGTCACTTTAACTATTTGTGCTGAGTCCAACAGACCAAGTCCCAAATTCTTAGCACCTGGGTGCTCATGACCTTACCACAAACCTCTTGTCACTAAGACTTCCAAGAAAGAAGAGGGTCAACTCCGCCAGACAGCAAGTTAGGGGAGAGCAGCTTGCCCGAGTGGTGGCAGGAGGCTGGCAAACCAATGACTAGACTAGCATCTTCCACAGGATGCAGTGGCCAAAATAGATCTGACTTACTTGTATGGGGTCCTCCTGAGGGATAATGTCTGTTTCATATGCCTGCTTTGCTTCAGCAGGCTGGTTCTCTCGTGGGAGGTCAGGCCCAGGAAAGCAATCTGCAAAAGAAGGTTGGAAGGTACATGAAAAATACCATTATGTTGAGGTTCTGTTGCTCTTAGTGCATCTCAGGACAGCAGTAAACATTCAGTGCGCCCCCGAATACAGTATAACCTAGACTTCTAACCAAGGATCACGGTGACGACAACAACTCAACAGCTCTAAATGAGACTAAGTAAATCTAGTAGCCGAGTTTGTTTGTTTTTTTTAAGTTTGTTTATTTTTCAGTAATCTCTACACCCAATGTGGGGCTTGGACTCACCACCCCGAGGTTAAGAGACCCTCACTCTTCCGACTGAGCCAGCCAGGCACCCCTGAGCACTTATTTTTTTGAGTGTCTGTTTTTATTAACATTCAACAAAGCACAGTAATGAAGTAACTGCTTTGGTAATTCAAGCCATGGCCTACAAGCCTGTTTAGATTCTCAGCACATGCAGCATGTAGGTTTTAGTTGAATAAAACTAAGTAAGGTCAAGATTACTGCAATGATCTCACCTTGTGTATGCTTCTTAGCAGCTCTTTGGAAAGGGCCAACTGAAAAAGTCAATCTGAAGTGAAGGACATTCAAATCCATAATTTGGGGAAGGGTAAGAGTTGAGGTAACTTAAAAACCCCCCAAATCATTAAAACCCTACTAGTCACTGAGGTACTCCATTTAATCCTCAAAATAACACAAATATCAAAGTTCTTATCTGTGAAACAGAGATTATCACACCATCCTCCCTCATCGGGTTGTTGAAGGATTTGACATAATATATTTAAAATACCCTGTTCAAGAAGCCACCAGAGGTGGATAACTGGTCCAAGGTCACACCGCTTAGAAAGTAGCAGAACTGAGACAGACACCTCAGTCAGTGTGAGAATAAAGTTCACGGTCCTTACCAGAGTCTGTGCTCTGTCTTACTACAGTCAAACCCGTGACTCACTAGAGCAGTCAGCAAATGAAAGGCTTCTAACAACTAAATGGTTTTATTAAGAAAACAACTTTACCATGAATTCCTCAATTTGAAAACTATCCAAAACTTTGAGTCCATTTTCTTGCCTTAGAAACTGTAAGAAACATTAACCTTTAAGAAGAAAAAAAAAAAAAAAAAAAAAAAAAAGGGGAAACCTGGGGGGCCCAGTGGGTTAAGCCTCCTCCTTTGGCTCAGGTTATGATCTCAGGGTCCTGGGATTGAGCCTCGCATTAGGCTCTCTGCTCAGCGGAGAACCTGCTTCCCCCTTTCTCTCTCTCTGCCTGCCTCTCTGCCTACTTGGGATCTCTCTCTCTCTGTAAATAAATAAATAAAATCTTTTAAAAAAAACAACTAATATTATAGTCTCACATATATCTGTACTTGTCCTCAGAGTCCAGAAAAGAAGAAAGAAAATTAGAATTGAGGTCTCAAATCTTCGGTTCTACTTCTCGTTCCCCTCTCACCAGCCACGTGGCCAAAACAAGACACTTAACCTCTCAGGGGCTTAGTTTTCTCATCTAAAAAATGGAGACACTGCTATGGCACAGTCTAGGACTCAACTCTTTTTTTTTGGAGATTTTATTTATTTGTCAGAGAGAGAGAGAGCACAAGCAGGAGGAACAACGGGCAGAGGGACAAGCAGGCTTCCTGCTGAGCAAGGAACACGATCCCAGGACCCTGGAATCATGATCTGAGCTAAAGGGAGACACTTAACTGACTGAGCCACCCAGGCATCCCTAGGACTCAACTCTTTGTCAGGAAAGAGACAGGAAGTGCTTTGGAATATGGAAAGCATATATAAATATTAGGTATTATAAGGTGTTAACAATCAGTGATGCTAACATTCATTCCTCCTGCCTGAGTGTGTAGATACCAGAGAGGCAGGAGATGAAGATGAATATTCAGAAGCCTCAGTTCAGTGTTACCAGCTTCATTCCCTTCCTTAGCATTTCTCCCCTTTGTCTGTCTTTCCTTCTTTCTCCTTATTACTGTAGAATTGGTTCCTTCCCTGTAAAAGTGGAATGCATTGTGCTTTTGATGAGTAATGCTCGAATTATCTGAGGTCTGACGGTAACTGGCTCAGACTGATCACGGCTGTCTGTTCCACGAGGGCAGGCCATAGCAACAACAAGAATTAGGTTATGCTCAGAGGGAAGGCAGACAGCAGGAAAAGGACAGTAGCTTCACAGGAAGCTGAATGTGGCTACTGCCCTGGAGCATGAACTTTCTAATGGCTGTGACCTTCCCTAGAAGTGTAATTACCGCGTCCACTGGTTGGTGATGGATCTTGCATTTCTCCCCCCTTCTATCCACTTAAGCACTGAGTAATGAACAGGATAACAAACAGAGTTGGAAAAAATGAGGGCAGAGAATCATCTCGCAAATGTTTCAAAGTATCTCACAATGCTGTTTATATTTTATGTTTTCACACACCTTATGATTTAACTATATGATGAAAAAAGCCTTTGAAGAGGCTGTCAGAAGACCTAGGTCTCCAGTTCTGATTTCGCTACTCACTGAGTGACCCTGAGCAAGTCAATTCACCTCTCTGTAACTCTATCCATAAAATAAAAAGGTCGGATTAGATCATTCCTAGGGACAAGCTAACAACTTACTATTCTAACCTTTACGCGATCCTATGAGAATAGCACTATCAACTCCATTTTACACACAAGGAAATTGAAATTCAAGAGTTAAATGACATGGAAAATTGACATTCCAGAGTCAAATGACATGCCTACAACCAGAGAGTAAGCAATAGGGGTGGAACTACGACCCAAAAACCTTCTGATTTAAAATTCAAGTCTTTCGACCTTATTACAGGCTACTGGAAATTTTACTCAAATGCATTATAAAAAGAGAAATAAATACCTGAAAGAGTTGATTTAATAATAAAAATGTAGACCATGAGAAATGGAAAGCTGCTAGCATGAAGATATATAAAACCCAAGGGGAACAGGCCACAATCTGATTGAGGTAGGTCCATAGTCCATCTTCTCTGAATGTTGTGGCACAATGATTTGACCAATCTGTGAATTCACAAGAAATGGAACTCATTATTTAAAAAGGCAACAAACTAGTGATCGTTCTTCAAGAAGATAAAATCACTGCACTTTTATTCAGGGAGAAGAGAAAGTAAGACATGGTAACACAGACTAGAACCCAACTTTATAAATTTATCTTCCAAATGCCAGCTTAACTAACAAAGATGATAAAATAGTACCTCACTGCTCATGAAGACTACGACAGCATTGCATTGGTGGTTGGCAGGAAAGGAATAAAAGTAAAAAAGGTCTGTAACACCACCACTAAAATCATCGTATATTCAGCATAAAATAAACTGGCTTGAAGTTAACTGTTCAAGGACTTGATAATGCAGAACAGCTGTGTTTAATAAATATCTGCTTAGAAAACTCATTGTTCAGGATACACAGCAAGAGATGAGTCTGTAAGGGTTCAGATCCACAGGCCATTGCTGTAGGCACAAGAAATCCCGTAAGCACCCAGATACCACTGGAACACGACCTAACAGCTTGCGGTTATTGGGGGTACAGAAGTACCATGGTGCACTGGCACCATGATTCATCCTGTAGGGGGAGAAAGTTCAGGTAAGGGAATCGTGAGAGACGCCCTAGGAAAAGGCAGAACTTCACCATGGCCCTTGTGACTCCATAAGCCATGCAGCTAAGGGCAGCAATAAGGAGAATGTGGGTAGGCAGCGGCAGGAACAAGGGAACAAGTCTGCAAGATTTTGTAAAGCCAATGACTTGTGTAGGCACCAGGACTGTGTATAAAGGGCGAATCATTTTTGAAATAAGAACTCTGCAAATTTGGGGTGCCTGAGTGGCTCAGTTGGTTAAGCAACTGCCTTCAGCTCAGGTCATGATCCTGGAGTCTCAGGATCAAGTCCTGCATCAGGCTCCCAGCTCCATGGGGAGTCTGCTTCTCCTTCTGATCTTCTCCCCTTTCACGCTCTCTCTCATTGTCTCTCTCTCAAATTAAAAAAAAAAAAAAATCTTAAAAAAATAAATAAATAAAGGAACTCTGCAAATTTGCACCTTGAGGTTTCATAAATGCCTCCAACAATTTGATAAGTAGTTTCAGACATTTTCCCAAAGCAGCACTTAAGAGCTCCTATGATGGAAAGAAAATGAATCCCTAACTTTACTATTACCCGTCTTAAAAATTTTAGTCTTAAAAATTTTTATAATTTTATACACACACACACACACACACACACACACATAAATATAAATATATAAAAATATTTTAATCTTCAAATCTATTTTTCCCCCTTTTGAGTCTCATTTGGTTCCTAACCATCTTTCATGACTATATGTCACAAGCATTCTAAGGGCAATCATCACAGAGTAACGATCAAGGCAACAAATTAAGGCAAATTACGCTCTCTTTTCGAGCTGCTCAAAGATGCGATCCATGCACCTGATATGACAAAAAAAAAAAAAAGAAAAAGAATGTAATTCCCAACAGCAGGTAGAGGGAACAGCTGCTGCATGGAAAAGAATACCTATTTTCTTTGAGTTTATGGATTTCTACTGCTCTCTTCTGGGAATTTTTTGAATAATACAGCATGACCTCAAACTGAAATTTTCATAGGATTGACTTTAGAATTAATGTCAAAGATATGGCTACAAATGGGACATACATTATCTTATGCACTATAAAACTTTCATATGTAATACTAATACATTCTTATCAGGTGGTCATTGGCTAATGACAGGGGACTCCTACTGTTCCAGTCTGATCATTTTCATCTTTAGATAGCTCTGACATTTATGTTCTTTCTAACAATGATCTAAAATCTTTCAGGGTGCCTGGTGGCTCAGTTGGTTGGGCGTCTGCCTTTGGCTCAGGTCATGATCCCAGGTGCTGGAAATGAGCCCCGCGTCGGGTTCCCTGCTTAGTGGGGAGTCTGCTTCTCCCTTCGCCTCCTTCTCTCTCTCTCTCTCTCTCTCTCTGTCTCTCATGAATAAATAAATAAAATCTTTAACATAAAATAAAATAAATTAAAAAAAAAATCTTTCTCCCTGTAACATGGAGGAGGCTGACACTTCTGAGTATCCACCCTGCGAGCAGACCTCACGGAAGATGAAACAGATGCAGCTACTTCTGCAGGGAACCCAAAGCAGCTGCCGCTGGCTTACACGAGGAGGGTGCACGTCAAGGCCCTAGCAACAGGAATTTTCATGGAAAACCACGAGGGTGGGATGATAGTGAGACCTCGCTAGAAAAGTGAAGCACGAGTTCATTTTTTCCATCTGGTGAAATAATGATAAATACTACAATGTCCTCATTCGGTGTAAAGAAATACTGTCTGAATACCAATGGGGTAAAAGTAACCAAATACGTTCAGCTAGCCTACATGGTTGCAAGCGAATATAAAATGTGACCATTCCTAAGAAAATACAGAAATTGGATCAGAGCCAGGGAATAAAGACAAAGTAGAGGGAAGAACCAATGCATGTAATAAGAAAGCAACTTGGAAAGAACGAAAGTGATGGAAAATTACTTCTGTCCTTATCAATACAGTCTTCTGCTTGACACAGACACCAAACAAAGGTGACTATTTTTAGTGAAGAGAGAAGCAGGAGAGACAAGAGTGGTGTAAAATCTGGCTCGTGTCCCTTAGGATCAAGGCCAAGGGACAAATCGGTCCATGGGCCAGCTTAAAAAGGTTTTCCAGGAATATGTTTTATTGTTAGGCCTTAAAAGGGCAGTTCTTTCAATAGAACTGTCAAGACATCTTTCATTTCTTATACCACAGGACATAATTTAAGAGGTTTTTGGATTCCAATCTCAGGATTACTGATGGCCTTTGACAAGAAATGAGACCAGAGATCACAACCCTCTGACTATTTGCTCCATTTGAGATGGTGACGGTCACATTGAGCTACAAAAGCATTTCCTACTGATCACAGACATCCAAGGTGTCAGAGGGGAAAGGAGCCAACAAGGTAACTTGAAGCCCTCTCCATGCCTATGCTGTTGCAAAAAAGACACCATTTCACATAGATATTAAGAATCTCGAAAAATGAAACCCCAAACAAACCAAAACTTGTAATACTGGATGTTTCGGGGGAAGGGGACTGGGAGGCTTAGGGACAGAGTAGGAAGATTTCTTTTTCAAGAACTAAACAAAATTTAAAGAAAACTGGAGTAGGGGAAAGGGGAAGGTAGGGAGGGCTGGTACTTGGGATGTTAAGGAAAAAAGAAAATAAAGTAGAAAAAACATTCCTAACATCTTCCTGCATCATTCCACATTTTAGCTCAGGAAATAAACTTGTGTTCTATTGGCAACTAAGACCTGAGCATGAATATAACAGGAGGGTGGGTGGAAACAAAGTCGTAGTGAGGCCAGATTCTACCAAAGCCTTCAAAATAAATAAATAATAAACAATTAAGACCAAAATAAACTACGAGAGCTATGGGTTTTCCCAGTTAGGTAACCTACTCTAAGGTTTGCGAAGCATAGCCATACAATTGGTGAGAGTTAACCCAAATCCTTGCTTCAACTTAAACCCTGTTCTTCTTGGTTAATCACCTTGGAATAGCCGGATGTCACTCCCTACATGAGCTCCCTCCATGCGTGTTCACACTGCTACTGAGAAGTTATTTTCCCTTCTCAGGGATGCAGAATAAATGGTCTAAGGTTTTCTTCCAAGTCATGATTTCCAAACTTGCAACGACTATTAGCTGTCCCATTAGCTCTGTGACTTGACATTTACCAAATGGCACGGGCAGTCAGACTTTTGTTCCTTCTCTACTGTGGTCACTTCTGCCCACCCTTAACCTCTCCGCTGCCAACCTGTTCTTTTTCCTCTTGTATTTACTTCTCACTTCCCTAGCTTTGTTCCTGAGCAGCTAATTTTTCTTCACTTCACTAGGTGATCAATCTACACTTTGCCTTAAATGAATTTGTATTGTTGACCACTTCTCAAATCCATCAAGGTCCCTTTAGGAGAGGTCCAATCTCTTGCCAAGTGCTAACAACTAATCGCTCTGAGCATTTCTTGCAGCTTCCCAAAGCTGAGTCCTGGAGGCAGCCGTTTCATTTTTATTAGGGGTATGGTTTATCGTCACCCAGTCAGAATGGGATATACAAGAATTTACCAAGAAAAATGCATGTGGGGCGCCTGGGTGACTCAGTTGGTTAAGCGACTGCCTTCAGCTCAGGTCATGATCCTGGAGTCCCGGGATCAAGTCCCGCATCAGGCTCCCAGCTCCACGGGGAGTCTGCTTCTCCCTCTGACCTTCTCCTCGATCATGCTCTCTCTCACTGTCTATCTCTTCTCTCAAATAAATAAATAAAATGTTTTTTAAAAAAATAATAAAAAGAAAAAAAGAAAAATGCATGTGGGTATGAGTTCATGAGCTTGTTTTAAGAAAAACTTATACTTACAGATGAAAGATTCATATATAATCCAGTCACAAACAATGGAAAGAAAAAGTAAGAAGAATATGAAATAGCGATGGTTGCCAAAACCTACATCAAAAAGAAAAAACATAGTTAATACTTTCTTACAATGATTTTCCATATCAAAACTTTATTAGCCACTTTCTTGTCAAAAGCCTTCACCAAAGTAAAAAATAAATAAGCTTATGCTTTGCTTTTAAATACCATTAAACCAAAACCAAACAGCTCTGATATGTCATGGGCAACTGTCCATGTTAACTGAATTAATATTTATTCGTTGCTTACCTAAAAGACATCGTTTTCTGGACATAACAAGATCTACTAAACACATGTAGCACTAGGAGGGCCAAAGACTGTGCCGGAGGAAGGGGAGACAGCAGGACTTTGGGCAGACATACCCTATGCCTTCCTTCCTTCCATGTGATGAGTTTAAGAAGTGCAATTTCGGAACATCAGAGATCCACTTGATCGGAGGAATAGAGAGAATGAATCTGAAGAGCAGTAGATAGATATGTTGCAGGAGACTAAACACAGGAGAAGAGGGGCAACCTGCAGCCTGAGAAAGGTCTACAGAAGTGAAGTAGGGGCAACGGGGCCAAGCAACCAAGCTCCACTCTCGTGTATGTTGCTCTCTTGATGCTGCAGTTGGGAGCACGTTGATGCTAATGACACTAAATGACTACCACGTCCCCATTTCTCCAAAGGAAGCACAGTCCAGGAGGAGGAATGCCCACTGCAATGGGCAGACCTAGGTTCACAGATCAGCAGCTGTGTGAATGTAGGCAAGTCATTTAACTGCTCTGATCTAATGTCCTTGCTTTTAATATGGGGATAAGATCTCTTCTGTCTGCTTCATAGGCCTATAGCAACCAAACAAGAGGATGCCCGTGAGATCACTATGTCAAATGCGTGTAATCAAAATATATGGGCTCATGACTGTGTTTTACCACTTCCATTCAAAGCTGCTGGCTATAATGCTAGCCATCCCATCTTTACAGTGGGATGGCGTCTATGAAGCTTGGGGCCCTAAGAATTACCTCTTCACCTATTCTCTAGGAATACAAGAGAACGTCAAAATGCACCAAAGAAACCTGGCTGTGAAGCAGCCTTTTGTTCAGGATTTTAAAAGGATTTTCTCTGCTGGAGACAAATGACCATAGTTCCTCTGCAGCTCCTCATAATAAACCCCTGGTTTTTACAGGGGCCAGGACAAGGAACAGTCCCCATCCTCTCTGGGTCTGGGTCCTACCTGAGCTTTGAAGGAAGCAAGTGGAGGAGTAAAGGAGAGACTCAAGTCACAAAACATGCTAAGAACCTGGTAATTTGGTATAGAAGACTGGTATTCCTAAAACAATCTCAAGCAAATAATTTACCTTTAGTATTTTTTCACCTCTAAAATGGATATAGTAATACCAACCTTGGGATGTGCCCTGATGATTGAATAGGATACTATATTCAAAAGTGCTTTATAAACTCTAAAATACTATACAAACCACATTAATTATTATCAACACTGACAGTTTTCCAAGAGTGTTACACCATGAAAGGATTCTCCATAAGAGCCCCAAAATGGACCCTTTAGATGCCCTTCCACTTTTTTCTATGAATCACACACACATAGCTAAATATATGCTTAACTTCATAGTGTTAACTAAAAAAATTCCATCTCTCACCTATGCACCGTCCAGTCCACAGACAATGTTGATCATATCGAGCGACACAGGAGTTGCACACGTGGCAATGAAGTGACCTTAAAGGCTTCCTTACCTAAGTGGGCAATTAAGACAGGTCTAAGCAAAAATATCAGTGTCTTAAAGTGGTAACAAATCACAAGCAAAATCTTACTCCTAAATCCTAAAGACACAAGCACAGATAATCCTAAGTAGACCATCAGTTCATGTTGAGCCTCTGGAATGCCTTATTAATATTTACTTCCAGATATCTATTTTGATTAGGCCATCACTAAAAGGGATTTGACTTCCAGAGCCTTTTCACACTGATGAAAGGGAAGTGAGGCAGCACCAGGAAGCAGAATGAGCACTGGATTAAGAAAAAGGAAAAAGGAAATGCAAGTTACATTTCTAGCTCTGCCAAAAATTTGGGGGAAGTTACTTCCTCCCTCTAGGCCTTGATTCCTCAACTGCAAAATGAGAGGTTTCACTAAGTGGTTTCTAGGGTCATCGTGAGCCTGTGAGTTGAAGTTAGTTCTACTATATGCTTCGTGGTAGAAAAAGCAATCCAAATATACTACAGATCATTCAGAGAGATTTAACCACAGGCAACTTGAAGAAACTATAAACATTCCCTCATACACTCAAGGCAGAAAACTATTCTAATAGTAATACAAAATTGGAAGCTGGTAAAAATGCAGATGTACAAATATACCATGAAGATTTAATGAAGGCTTACATGAGAAATGTTACCAAGAATCTGCTTTCTTACTACAGGGGGGAAAGAAAAAAAGACTCACAAGACATGATGTACAAAACGTTCTGAAGTCCAGACAGCCAGTCTCTGCAAGGGTGATGATATTCTGAAAGGCATGAAATTTGACCTTATGATTACGTGTTACTAGGGAATGTATAATGCATGTTATAGACCATTCTCCCAGCTCTCTCTCCAAACTGAGGCAGCCAGAAAAGCAATCTGGAATACCTGCCACCAAATCATCGTATACCTGAAAATAATGTGACTTTTCAAGGCTGCATTTTCAAGCACAGCCAATAAATTAGAAAGCACAAAATTAACCTCCCCGTCTCTCCATGAATGGCAAGCATCCCCTACTTATAATCTGTTAGAGAAAAAGACATACACATATATACACTTATAAAAAAGAAACAAAACTCATCAGTAGACATCAGAACTGATGGTTATAAGCACCATGGCTTATCTTTCAGGAACACTGGATAGAGGTAACACAAACAACAATACTCTCCCCGACTCCTGAACATTCACAAGCAAAGGAAGCCATGCAGGTCAACTGACAGCTTCACATCTGAGGAAGAGAAAGGCATCTCTTGTCAGTGAGGACTCCCCCCTTGCCCCTGCCTGCTTACGCTCCATGTATTAAATTGGGAGAACTTAAGCTAAATGATCATTATCTATATGTTACTGGAAGAAACCAAGATCAGGTTTGCTGACAGAAATTACATTTGAAAAAGTCTTGGTGGGTATGACTTTAAGAGAAAATAAAAATATTTTTTAAGATTTTTACATAAATAAACAAAAGCACGACCTGGAGAAATCTCAACTTCGTTGATTTATCTCGCAGCTATTACTTGCCCGGCACTAGAGATGCAGCCATGACGAACAACAACATTGCTATGAACTTCTTATTTAAAAAAAAAATTAAAAAGGGAACATTGTAAAGAAAGCTCACCGTTTTCCTTTCTTCTTCAGAAGCTTTAGTGAAGCCTGGATCAGTTGCCCAAGTCTTGTAGAAAAAGTAGAGGAAGCCTATTATGCTGAGAAGGAAAGCAAAATAGAAAGGGGTGCCTGCTCGATGTGAAAGCCACGTTAAGGAATGTATCAACTTCCACTAAGAACGGTATGATTATGACATAAGCAAATTCCATCACTGGTGCCTGAAAATCTCTCTGCATTCTATCCTCACTTTCCGTTACATATACATATCCCTGCCCCCAGACCTGGCCCCATCCTCTGTTCTACAGGAATTTGCTCATAGTTCCTAGTAATTAATCCCTCCCGATTAGTTGACACTCATGAAATATTGATAGGAATAATTGTAATGTATGAGGAATATCCTGAGGACTGAAAAACATTTCAGATCCAAATAAGTTAATCTCTCATGGTGTAACTATAGCTCTCTTGTAAGTATCAAAAAGAATATTTATTGATCATTTAAACAAAATCAAAGAAACAAACCCCTTGATTCAGAGATTCCAACTTAAAATATTTCTTTATATATTAGATAAATGCTTGCAAAAATTTCCTAATTGAAAGTTTAATAATGAATCCCTGTGATGTATTAGGTTGTATTAATTTAGAAATACACAAAAAAATTTGCTCTCTGTGCAAGGTAATTACAAATCAAATGCTATTTTGGGAAAGGAACATATTACAGGCACATTAAGATAAAAAGTATTTCAAGGATAAACATTACCCATTTTGAAATGATACAAATTCCTTGTATAAAAAGCAAAATTTTGCTCTAGGGAAAGATGAATGAAGGTGCACCAAGTAATTAGCCAATACACCAGTAGTAAACCATTTCTCCTTGCCCAATTTAAATCATCATCGACACGGTAACTGTATCTGCCTTCGAAGGTATTATCAAGCTTTTTAAAAAGATTTTATTTATTTATTTCAAGGGAGAGAGAGAGAGAGAGAGTGAGTAAGCACTAGTTGGGGGTGGAGGGAGGAGGGCAGAGGGAGTGGGAGAAGCAGACTCCTGGGTGAGCAGGAAGCCTGACACAGGGCTCGATCCCAGAACCCTGAGATCATGACCTGAGCTGAAGGCAGACACTTAGCCAAATGAGCCACCCAGGCACCCCTCAAGCTGTCCTGTGCCAAACTTTGGAGTGGAAAAGATGGCCATAAAATAGACTCTAACCCTTGCTATTTAAAGTGTGGTCCATAGACCCATAGCAATGGCTTTCCCTGGGAGCTTGTTAGAAAGGCACTCGAGCTTCAGACCTCAGCCCAGATTTGCAGGATCAGACTCTGGATTTTAACTAGATCCTTAAGGGGTCCACATGCACACAACAGTTCAAGAAGCACTGCTCCAACCCACAAAAACCAGCAGCAACCACATCTGGTTGAGGTAGGCAGGAACAAACCTTGGTGGTTAAATGTATCCATTTGTCTACAGAAGTGCCTGGCTTTAAGAAAGAGATAGGATCTGGAAGAGTTGTGCGAAATGGAATTCCGACAAATAAAGTTTACTTAGAATGAATTAACAGCATTGTTTCAGAGTACGTAAGTCAAGACCTTTAGTTACAGAAACACATCCTGCTTTCTTCCCACTGAACTTTGATCGGCACACATGACACATCCTCAAAAACACATTCAGCTGAAGCGTATGATTCCACATACGGACCTGACGGAACGCTGGGCTCCTGTTCTGAATAACTTTCAGAACAAATTGCAGGAGAATCACTGGAGCCTCTCTCTCCAAGTAAAATGAATGCATTCTATCCCCTCACATAAAAGCCAAATGTTCCTTGCTTCCATGCCCTTGCTTTGTGTGGTTCATTAACCTCAAATGCTCCCCACTGTCCCCAGCTACTTCCAGAAGCACACTTTGAGGATGTCCAAGCCCTAACTGCCTTCGAGACCTAACACACTCTCCTTCCCCTTGAAGGTCTTTCTTGATCGCCTACAGAGAAGAATTCTTGCCCTTCCCTGAATCTAAAGATGCCTGTTCTGTGGTACTCAGACCTTATACACACGTCAGCCTCGTCAGTTAGCTGGTGACTCTGCAGTTAAGAAGTCTCTCCATATGGAAATGAAATTTGCCCTTCTGTAACTTGGACTGTTTTTCATTCCTTAGATCCTTTAGCTCTACACTACAGATCTACACTATAGCTGTCCTTCGATCTATACCCTACAGAAGCTTACTCCTCCTTTGTTCAATACAGTTTTATTCAATGTCCATCCCATACAATGCATTGGCTTCCGAGTGACAGACTTCCGAACACGTGACACCGGACGGCAGCACTCACACCTCCAGGATAAGCAGCAACCTTGTTCCTTGTACAGCAACAGTCTCCTGGTCATGTTCTGCTTTACGTTCCTGTTTGTCCATTTCTCTCTCAAAAGAACAGAATTCAAAACAGAGCAGACACACTTCAGGGTTGTCCTGACCAGTGCTAGGGACAGTGTGACTGCTGTTGTCCTTTGCGGGGACACCCACGTCCTTGTACTATTTATTACTGGAGAACACAGCGGCTTCCTTGGCAGCTAGATCACTCCCTACATGGGGCTTTTAGTCAAAGCTCTTACTCTTTCACCTGATCTGAAGCTGCATCACTCCTTCCGCAACAAGCCAGAGGTATAGACATAACATTCTGTACGTCACCATTTCTGGTTCTTAATCTCACCTCCAAATGCATCAGTAAGGTCCTACTTTTTCCATTTGATCCTGTTTCATAAAAGCCATATACATTAATGCTGAACATATAAAAGGCACCAAAAGGAAGTGATCTTCTGAGGAACAAACCTAGAGCTTCCCTTAAAATTAATTTCAACATGCAGCCTTCCACACAGATTTTATTCATAAGAGTAATTAATAATGAAGTAAGTATTATTTAGAAAATGCCAATTACGCAATGGGGTCAGCATTTTACAGACATCACAGTACAGTAATCCTTGCAGCCATCCCATGAACTTGGTACTCTTATCCTTCAGGAATTTTTTTAATGGCAAAACTGAGACTCAGAGAAATTAAATAATGTGCCCAATGGTACATGACGAGTCAGAAAAAGAACCAAACTCAAACTCATTCTGTCTGATTCAGAAGACAGTACTCCTTCCACAGCGCCCCAGACACTTTCCCATAATGGACTGTGAGAGGGGACACTCCCTCACGATCCAGACTTGGCAATCTGAGACAAGATCAGTCTAACTAGTCAGGATGGGTCTTTACAGGGTAGCACAGTCAAGTCATACCCAGAGCAGTTTCAAACAGCATTTAACATTCAGCTCTCAAAACACTGATCTGACGGCGAAGTCTGCCACCTACTGACTGACACTCACCAGCAGCAGGTTCACAGGGGCATGTGGATCAAAGGCTTTTCGGCGGCACAGGCAAGGAAAATATCCCATCCTGTCCACTCTGACATCCTAAGAATCTGTCTAGCTTTGGAAATCAATTCTTCGGATTAATGGCATCGTCACAGATGGTGACTGCTTGTAATGAAACTCACCTGAATACTAAGTTCTGTAGTTGAGACTCTCAAACTACAGTGGAGCCACATTCTTATTGATATTACTTCGGCAAAGTTGAAATAATTCAATATAAACAGTATCTCACTTTTTCTGCCAAAAGCGAAATACTGTGAATTGCTCAAATTTTAAAAATTCATCAAGAAACACAAGTTTAAAACTGTGTTTACTCTACCACTACTTGGGCTGTTAAGCAAAAATGCCAGCCACCCCTTAGAATGATGTCAATTATCCTTGAATATACCAGCCTTGGGATTTCTCCAAGTGATTCTGGGTGTATACTGTGCTATTGTTTAATACGCTCATTACTTATAATGTATTTTTATATTACATAATATCATCCAAGCCTCCATTAAGCAGTGATCATGAGGCTAGTGCTTACAAAGCTGCCCCCACATTAGTAATCATGAGACAAAGGCTATATGTAATAACCTCTTTGATAAAAGCCAAATGAACTCCACGGTATGCTGTACCACTCATTTACATTAAAGGAATCTGAAGAATATTAGAGATAAGGCTCAGAAACAAAAAGCATCATTGAAGTATAAACATACTATGATGAAAGGAAACGTATGCACACTGAGAACTCATCTGCCTCTCTCGTTTCACATTGATTCCCGTGGAAAAAATATTCCTCAATTGAGTATATGCATCTCTCTCATGAACACCATTCTTTCTTTCCAAAGATGCCATTACCAGAAAGAGACAACACAGAAGCTGAGGGAGTATGTTTATAGGTACATTTCTATCTACCACATTCCTTCTTCCCCTACCCTATAAAGAAAGCAAGGTTATAATGGCTTCCTAGTCTCTGCAGGGGAAATAGGAACCTGGAAAGAAGTGGGAAGATAAAAATCAGACAAAAATACCTCCCTCCTACTGGGAGCTATAAATAGCCGTAAACCAGGAAGTATGCCCTATCCCCACTTCTACGTGACTAGGCTCAGTCAACCCCAAGAGCACAACACACCTCCCAAGCTGGCCTTGGCCTGAGCCCAGTTCCTCAACAGATAAACCTATTCCTTAGAGGAGTTCTTTTGGTTTGAAAACAGCTGCCATCCATTAGCAGGCCATGAAAGAATTAAGTGCACTGTGACCAGCATTTTTAAAAAGGAAATGGAACATCATAAAGTAACAAAATTTCAGAGTAAAGCACATATCGGGAGTATCAATTTTCTGTTTCACGTACATTTTGGGTGGCAATGTAAATGTATTTTTAGTGTGGATTGAGAATCACAGCTATAGACAGCAACACTGTGCTGACCACAGCTGAGGAGGACACGTTTCCCCAAATACCCCTCCCGTACAGGCCATCTTGGTACCCAGAAGATTTATTAATCAACTGTCACTGCCAACCAAGTTAAAAGAACGATCTGACCTTGAAGAGAGTATCTCAAGGCAATACAACAAATGTTTACGGGTCCAAGTAAAATAATAATTCATTCTACTGTTTCTTTTCTGTGAGTAATGAATTCTAGACCCCTACCAGTTCCATGGTGTGCTCTAAGATTATTTCCAGAACTGAGAAGATTTTCAACACTAAACCTCGTCAACCAGAATAATTAAAATGACTACAAATAGGAGTTGAATTTCCTGGATCTCTACTATTATCTAAATTTCTAACTAGCATTACTACTGTTGAAAGGCAAAATGAGATAAATATTTAAATTTCAGCTTTAAGGATATGAGGAAAGAATAAGATGAACCAAGTCACAAATATCCAAAAAATGGAACTTAGCAGGAAGACCGTTGGTAAGTATATGAAGCTCTTATACCCGACCAAGAACCTAAAAGAGAAAGGGATATACACAGGGTATTAGTGAAAACAAGTATGGTCCATATTAATTTTAGTTCTACGTCCCCTTAAATAACAGTAATAGTAACAATCCCCTCAAGTAACGGTAGCAGCAACGGCTTTCAGCACCCAGCGCTTCCAGTGTGAAGCTTCCCACCCAGTAACTGAGCATTTGCCGCCACCTCACCCCATTTTCCATGAGAAAAGTAAAGCAGAGATGCACGTTCCAGTTCTTGTAACTAACTTCTACAGGATTTCATTCCCCATAACTTTCTATTTGCAATGATTCTTCCGTTCTGTTGTGACATATCACACGTGTATTTCTTTTTGGCATCAAATGTTCCAAAATGCAAAAACTGTAAATACTTGGGCAATTCACCTTCATGTTTAACATGCTTCCTTCTGGAGGACAGGAGCATATTTTTAAAAACAAAACAGATGCACACAACCCTAAGCGGTTTCATCCCACAACCAGCCTGAGAGGCAGACAGGCCACGTAAAAAGCTCTATAAAGGCTAAAAGTGGCACCAGTGGTCAGAATGCAAACCCTCCTGCTTGGGTAACAGGCAACATGGAAGGCTACATATCACTTACTCAACTGTCGCTACTGGAGTTTCAAAAGAAAAAAAAAAATCTGTCTTTTGTGTTAAATACTCAATATACTAAATCCGTGCATGAACAGAGTTTACCTGGATCTGTTTTACAATGTTATACCAGGAAAAAACAATGGTTGATGACAGGTAGGAAAAGGACTTTTTAAAAAGCAATCAAGATCATGAGCACCATCATGATAAAATATTTCAGAAAAACTGAAGATCCCAAACTTCAGGCACATAAAATGCTGCCAGAGTAGACCAAACGGAGCCCACGGATCCTCCGCAGCCTGACCTGAGGTTCCGCAGCGCAAATGTGTTTGATGTTTGACTGAATTAAGCAGTGCAGTGAACTACCTGATTTGTAAGTCTGCGACCATGACCTGCCTTCTTCTAACAGGCACCACAGAGCAGCCTGGATTGATAAGCAACTGGCCCTGGAGCCGGAATCGTAGTAGAAGTTTGCAGCTGCCTAAGCTCCATGAAACTGGGTCTCTACAGAAGGGTAAGTCAGAAATAAAAGCAGGATGGATAAAGGTGCCATATGCATTTGTCTCCCATTTGACCTGTGTCCATATGCCAAGCCTAGCTTATGAAGCCCTCGACACACTGTCAGCAGAAACAAAAGTTTCATATGATTTTTGCACACTGTTAGTTTCTACCAGAACAGACGAAATCTCAAATGCTCCTATCCTAGGTGAGTAGATACTGCCAGGTCTGGCTTTCTCTCTGAAAAAGCCAAAGCGAAAACAAAAACCCCAAAGCGATGACTGAGATGCCTGGTGATTTGGCTTAAAATGTCTTTGGCAATGGAGTCAATCTAATTAGTGGAAAATGAATAAATATCTCTAAGTTACAAGTTTTCTGAATAGCAGGCAATTTTAGGCATTCTGTTATTTTTCAGAAATGTAAGTTTTTACTTTGCATTTATATTCTAATTAATTCCCCACCAACTGTCCTGCTCTTGCATGACCAAGAGTAAGCTTCCTCTAATACTTTGTTTTTTCTTATGACTCAAGTGGCTCATGCTTATTCCGGAAAACGCTGGCAAGCAAAAAAGGGCATAGGAATACTGAACACCACACTCTGAAGAGAGCAACACTGTATTTCCTTTTAGATCCTTTTCTATGGATCAGCATCATTACATTTTTCTTTCATTCACTAAGTGAAAATATTGAGCAGGAGAAACAAGTTTCCTGCTTATAGGGGCCTTAACACTCCAGGAAACGGTGATGATGAAGTGCTATGAAGGAAATCAAACAGTGATGCAGAGAGTTAGTCAGGGACAGCCTAAGGAAGTGACCCTGCTCTACAACAATATGGTACTGGAACACTTCAGACAAAGACAGAAGCAAGAGCCAAGGCCCAGGGCTTGGGGGGAGGCTGGGCATGAGCTCAACAATGTGTTCTAGAAATAGAAAGAAGATAGAAGAGCAAAGAAGGGAAGAGAGGAAAGAGATGAAATCAGAGGGGAGACTGAATCACATAATACCTCACAGGCAAGGAGTCTGGATTTTATTTTGAAGACACAGAAAAGGAACCAGAGGGCTTTAAGCAAGGAGAAAAGGCAGAAAATGATTTATTTGCCTTTTTAAAAGACCGCACTGATTGCTAAATGGGGATGAACTATAAAGGGATAAGAGCTGAAGTAAGACCAGATAGGGACATCGGTCTGGGGTGCCGGTCGTGGAGATGGAGAGAACAAACTGGACAAAGGGCAGGAAGGACTTGGTGATGAGCTGGTGGGAAGGGAAGAATCGAAGATGAAAGTAATCCAAGGATGACACTCATTATTCACACAGGGAACCAGATGCCATTTTACTGAAAAATGGAAGTGAGAAAAGACTGGGGTGTGGTATGGTTATTGAGTGATGTGTGTCAGCCATGGTTCTAACCACTGTATATACGTTAACCGTGAAGCAGGGATTGTCACAATTATTATCCACATTTTGTAGATGAACAAAGTGAGGCGCGGAGAGGTAAAGCAACTTAATCAATGTCAGAATGTTGTGTGGTAAAGCCTGACTTGAACCCAGGCAACCTGACTCTTAACCATGACTATATATAATCATGCATAATATTTTCCTAAAAACAGAACCATACCATAGCTACTATTTTAACTACACTTTAGCTACTAATTTCCTACTATTTAATTAGGTTGTTTCAACTATAAAGCATTAAGAGCAAAAACAATGAGCTTAAAATGAGTTTAGATTAAGGAAAAAACATTTCTGGAAAAATGGGCAAAAATGTTTCAGGATATAAAAACAGTTACAAAAATCTTCTCATTATTTACCCAAATCAACAATTCAAAAAGTGAGCTAGGACCTTTATTTTCCACCAACTGCCAATTCAATCAGATTATTGGGTTGACCAATTTGCTTTTAGCTAAATAATATACTATCGAAGCCCTTCCCTCCCACCACCCCTGAAGAATTTTCTGTGTGGTAAGTAACATTCATAGCTCAATAAAAACCTATGATTCTAGCTGATCAACAAGAGAAATAAGCAATCAAATGGAAATGCAATAACCAGCCTTGCAAAGACTAATATACACACCTTGGAAGCAAAGATGTCAGAAAAAACAATGTTAATAGAAGACATCCTTTTAAAAGCCAAGAATCTGAATTGAAGTCCAGTATGTATCCAACAGCCCACATGGTAATCACAGAAAGCATCAGCAGCAGGAAGAGCTATTAAGAGATTGAGAATTTTAGAACCTTATGGATTTTACATCCTAAGTTTCTAACAATGATTAGAAAAACAAAAGAACTACTTCCTAAATGTATAACAATTAATACAATAGCAGAATACAGAGTTTTTTCTTTGAAATTGCTGATTGATAAATATGAAGTCTGAGAAACCACAAATCTTGGAAACAATCTTTTAAAAGACTTAAATGTTATAAAATATTGCTTAAACATGTTTTCTTTCGCTTTCTTCCCCTCTAAGAAATGGTGGTCTTTTAGAAAAGTGTTAATGAGAGCTGACATTTTTAAAAATAATTTCTTTCTAACAGTAACTACAGGTCAGAAAGCATAAAGCAAAACAAAGGAACCACACAAAAATCAATACACCCAAGACTCAATGAGGAGAGTACAGGAGTTCCAGCCTGGACACCAGATGGTGCCATCCCCTAATAAAGAAGGTCAGAGGGAACAAGCCTGCAGAAAAGATGATAGTTTAGGGCATGTGGAATTTCAGATGCCTGTGGGCATCTAGGAGATACCCAAGAGGCAGACTGGAAAAGCAGGTCTATCACCCAGGAGAATATTTTGTACTCATCAGTATATAGGCTGGAAAGCCAGGAATGAACAACATCCCAAGGATGTACAGGTAGAAAGGGGCAGAATCTTGACCAACACAAACATTTAAGGGGGAAAAAGCTAAGTTTACAGAGGTAACCAAGAAAGAGTAACTGGTGTGACCAGAAAGGCAGGATGAAAACCAAGAGAAAGGTCCCATGAAGCCAGAGAAGAGAGTTTTAAGAAAGGAGTAGTTCTCAGTTGTCAAGTGACATACGGAGGCCAAAGACTAAAATAAATCCTCAGGATGCTAATCCTTCAGGTCTATTGGTTGAGTCTATGAACCAACAGTGCAGGTGACTGTCTGTGGCACCGAAGCCGGGCATCACACTGCTGCAATGCGGTCCCCTAACTGCAATACATGTGACCTTTGTAACAGCAAAGGGAGAAACTATACTCTGCCCTATTTTCTTCAATTTTTACTTCTCTAAGTATTGTGGGGATGAACAGTTTCCAATGCTATCAAATCTTTAAAATCCTAAATCTAGGAGTTCCTGGGTGGCTCAGTCATTAAGTGTCTGCCTTCAGCTCACGTCATGATCCCAGGGTCCTGGGATTGAGCCCCGCTTCAGGCTCCCTGCTAAGCAGGAAGCCTGCTTCTCCCTCTCCCACTTCCCCTGCTTATGTTCCCTCTCTCACTGTCTGTCTCTCTGTCAAATAAATAAATAAAATCTTTCTTAATAAATAAATAAATAAATAAAAATAAAATCTTAAATCTAATTTGCATGGCAACATAAAATTAGCAAGTTTAGATTTTTTAAAACGTAGTAAACTTAGAATCTACAGGCAACATAATCTCAGAATAAAAATATGAATTAAATACGGATCTCAAATTTTAACCCCAGACATTAACACTCATAGATGAGCCACAGTATTTATTCACTCAATAACTATTCCAGTGCATACTGTATGCTGGGCACTGTTCTAGGTACTTGGGACATATCACGACTTAAGGCCTTTCTCCCATGGAGCTTAAATTCTAGCAGAAGATGACAAGAAAAATGTACTAAGTGATTTAATAGTACATAAAAGCTGGATCACATAGAGCCTTATAAGTCACGGTAAGGACTTTGGCTTTTATTCTGGGACACAGAGGGAGGTATCACAGGATTCCGAGCAGAGGAATGACAGGACCTGCCCTACATTTCAAAAGATTCATCTGCCTGCTCCGTTGACAATGGACTACAGGTGAGTGGGGCAAGGAGATGTGAGACAACTGTGATAATCCGCATGGAAGATAATGGTGGCTGGACCAAAATGCCACCGGTGGAACAGTGAGAAGGGTCAGACTCTGGAAATACACTGAGGACAGAATTAGCCAATATGTTTTGCTACTGGACTAGATACATGGTGTGACAGAGAAAAGGCAGAAATGGCTGGGAGGCCGGAGTTGCCACCTACTAAGAAGGGAAAGGCTGTGGATGGAATACTTAGGGAGGAGTGGGGCAAAGATCAGGAGTTCAGTTTTGGATATGTTATGCTGGAGCTGCCTATCAGACACTTAACTGGGTAATTCAAGTAGGTAATTTGATAGAGGAGTCTGGAAAGATCTGAACTAGACATAACTTTGGAAGCGGTCAACATATACATGGCATTTAAAGCCATGGAAGTGCACTGGGGGTGCCTGGGTGGCTCAGCTGGGGAGTCTGTTTCTCCCTCTTTTTCTGCCCCTTCTTCTCATTCATGCTCTTTTTCTCCCTCTCTCAAATAAATAAATAAAACCTTAAAAAAAAAAAAAAGAATAAAGCCATGGAAGTGTATGAAATCACCAAGGGAATGAATGGATTAAAAAAGGGGTCCAAGAACAAAATCCTGGGGCACCCTACCAATACGGGGTAGGAGAGAAGCAGAGGGGCTGGCAAAGGATATTGAGGAGTGACAGTTACTCTCTCCCTCCATACATCTGAATGCAAAATTGGTGCGGTATTTGTGATGACCCTCTGCATAGAAATCTGGTGCCCATGAATTTAGAATCGATATGAGGGTATAATTACTAATCATTATTAGATAAGATGATGCCATCTGTCTTATTTGAAAACATTAAAAAAGTAGAATCAACTCAATATCTCATTTTAACAATTTGAATTATATTCACTAATATGACTTAGATTTTGGGGGCCATTCACAAGAACAAGCTGACCTTCCTAACTTTCTCTATCAATTAAGTTTAGAAGAACATCACTCAGAACTGCCAACTTACACCAAGAGTAAACTCGGGGTACATCTGTAGAAATTCCAGATGTTTTCATTTTGTGAGGAGCCATCACATGCTTGAAGTCTGCAACACTTATTTTTAAAGTCTAACTCCTCTGTGTTGAATGTTACTACTTCCTCTTGAAAAAAACTTCAATAAAAACAAGTTCTATAAGAAAATCTTCTACAGGAGCGCCTGGGTGGATCAGTGGGTTAAAGCCTCTGCTTTCAGCTCAGATCATGATCTCAGGGTCCTGGGATCAAGCCCTGCATCGGGCTCTCTGCTCAGCAGGGAGCCTGCTTCCCCCTCGGTCTCTGCCTGCCTCTCTGCCTACTTGTGACCTCTATCAAATAAATAAATAAAATCTTTAAAAAAAAAAAAAAGAAAAAGAAAAAAAACTTCTATAAATTTTCTCTCAACAAGGTATTTCTCCTTTTGTTTCTTTAAAAATCAGTCTGTTTTCAATTCATTCATTAAATGTGGAAGTATGCTATGACATTCACAAGATAACACACAGCTTTAGAGCCATCTAGCTGAGGATCACCAGTAAACTGCTAACAAAATGCCAAATTTCCAACTCTGGGCCATGTGATGTGTGGGAAAGATGCGATTAGCAGATGTAATGTAGCACTAAGCTAATTTCCTGGTTTCGCCCTGGTTTCCTCCCTGATTTACCTTCAAAAACAAACACAAATGAACAAAAGAGTCCTTTTTATGGCCCATAGAACAGAACCCATATGAAAATACCTCACATTTCTGCAGCCACCTCCAAAGTCTGAACTTCTTGTTGGCTCTCATTTTTGCCTCTGTTTTTAGCATGTGAATAATGAGGCGATTTTTATTCTGTAAAGCCATGTCAAGAGGTGTTTCACCCTTAATAAGAGAGAGAGAGAATATTCAGTTATATTTTCTACAGAGTATGGTTGCTAAACATTTGATAAGAAATCAGCAGAATCAAAGACTCAAATGTATTCATTCTGAAAGTAGCCAACTACAGTTCGTGGTTATTTATCCTGTGGTTAATTGAAAATATATGCATAGCTTATATTTATGATGATGTACTAATTTTCTAACTGAAGACATAATAAACTAAGGGAGATAAATACCTGGTCATACCTTAACATTTCGGACATCCAGGCTAGAACCAGCTTCCAAAAGTTTATCGACCGCATTAACATTTCCTGCTGCAACTGCCCAGTGGAGGGGAGTGTTCTGGTGTATTTTATCAACCACAGTGAGAGAAGGATTAAACTTTAAAAGAAATCCAGTTGGTTCTGGTCTGTCTCAAAACAACAAAATACCCAGGAGTTTTAGAGAGATGAATGATTTCAAGGGTAAATGCAAAATTATGAATCTTTTAAGCTAACGTATAAATTGACCAATCAGTTAAGTATTCTGAAAACCAAGAAACTTCTTTCTGCAGAGTTCTATTCCAGGGGCTAATAGGAGAGATGCACCTTTCAAAAAGACATCCAGAAAGTGACAGTCTGCTACACAGATAATATAATTTCAACGTCAATACAATGAAATAACTTCTTTTGTTTTTAACCTTTTATTTTCATGTTGTTGTTCTCTTGGTTAACATTTTTTCTTAAATTGTGAATTTAACTTCGGCCAATGTTATGTTATTTACCTAATTAAAACTAAATGTACAACATTATATCTGAGGCAATAAACCAAAAGCTAACTTTCCATGTTCCCTTTAACCAATTATTAAATAAAACAGGTATAAATAATGTCCTAAAGTATTTATTTATCTTAGAAACCTATGGACTAGCAGGCAGCATTTAATATTTTTACTTTACCATCAATATCTTCCCTTCTTTCATGACTACTCAAGAGATTCTTTTAATAAAGCAGTATTCTACTTACTTATTCTATCAATATCTTTAAACACTATTATCTGACTTTAGTGTTATCACCAGAAAAGAAGAAATGCTTTTTAATAAAACTCAGCATCTAGCCCCCAGCACTCCATGAATAAAATGTAATGGCATCACAACTAACTCAGTTCCTAGGAGAGAGGTCCTAAGTAAAAGTAGAATCAGAAATTAAGTACAACACTGGAAACAAATTCATAAAGGTAAAACTGTAGCAAGTATTTGGACAGAAAGAATACCAGACGTTGACTATCTGGTGGTCATTAATCACATGTGTTTATATAATAGAAAAACTTAAATATGTAAATACTTGATCTAAACACATCAATAGACTATATTCGTAGATCAGTTACAATTATATTTTCAGAGCAGTCAACAATGTCAGAGAGCCTCAAAATGTATTGTTTTCTGAAAAGATTTTATCATCCAGATTTCAAATTATGAGAACATTTAAACTTGAAGCCATTTTTTTAAAAATGCAAACTCAGAAATATAAGTCTTATTAGTAAGTTATGCTATGGAATCTCTACCTGTTCTATAAGGAAATTTTTTTTCTTATTAGTAGCTTTCAAACTATCGGGAAAAAGCTATCAGGAAAAAGAAAATTTATTTCAGTGGTGCCTAACCACAACTACATTAAAAGTTCCTAGCAGTCACAGGGTAGAAAATCTTTCTTTCCTCTTCAGAAAGTATTATCATCTCAACATAGATTAAGATATTTAAAATTACATACAGAGAAATTAGAAGCAAGAATCAAAATGAGGCAATTCAATTAAATATACTTACCCAAGTACTTTGTGAGCTGATAACATCAGAGGTGTCTGCCCATTTAAATCTGTCATATTCACACTCTGTCCAAAAGGAAGAGTCAATCAGACTTACTGTAAACGCAGTCAAAATTCTCTCTTCTCTTAATGGAAGTAGCTCTCTAATACATTCAACATTACAAGAAGGGTTTACAAGAAGGGTTGTGTTTAAAGAAGGGTTCAAATATCATTTGAACAAAAGAATGTTCTGCTTCAAATCCACAGGATAAAAATTCACCGTTTTCTACAAAATATTCTTAAGGGGAAAATGTGAATATATAGTTTAAAGTATATGATGTGAATGGAAGAGAGCTAAGGGGAGGGGGAGAACGCTAATAATCACCATCAAATATAAGAGACTCAAGAGACCTTAGGAATCATCTAGGTTACAACTTAACTGACACAGTATTTCAAACCATCGTGTCTTATGTAACAGCACGCAGTCTTTATGTAAACATACTTCAGGGGATGGTGAAATGTCCATCTTTTCTAAGGCAACTCACCATATTTTTGGACTTACGTTTCAAAGAGTAAAGCATGAAAAATTATTTTCTATTTTCCAGGATATAGGGGGGAAAAAGGAAACCCTATCTCCACGAGGATAAGCTCCTTTTAATAAAATGGCCCAGGTTTGAGGCACACAATAATGATTCCATCCAAGTCAAAGAAAGAGTTTTAGTTACCAAAGAGTCTCTTGGGCCTTGGAGGAATACAACTCAGGAAAGAGCCAAAAGAGAGGCAGACAGGGCTCCTCCTCATATGTCTTCCCAAAATGAGAGCCAAGAGGTTATAATTATTCTACTTCAGTTGGCTAAGTCTGAGAGAAAGTGCTTATTTAAAAAGAACACAATCATTCCAAGAGCATTTGTGCAAACATGTTTCCACACCTGTTATAGGCAAGTCTGCTGATACATAAACTACTTCGCTACCAGAAAGCACATCCCAGACAAGAACAGTGAAACTCCCACCGCCAATACCCTATAATTTAACCTGTGCCATAAATGGATACCTCTTAAGGCAAGTCATTTTTCATGGAATTACTTTAGAGAACAATAAGAAGCACACATTCAAATTGGTCTCCCATTTGGACTCAAATAATGAAAGCAAATGATGGGTTAATTTAGTGATCTGACTACCATTCCTACATTCAACCAGAATAAAAATACAGGCTTTTGAAGTCATGTTTTTGAAAAACTCTGCAAATTACTGGGATCATAAGGAAAACTATTATAGGCTTACACGTTTCAAAAATATCTCTTATATGTTACTGTGCTAAATGATCTGTCCTTTTTGCTCCAATGAAGCTAGAAAACCAGCACAGCTACACTTACTGAGGCTAATATTTGACTATCCGGATATCTTTAACTTCTACTTTAAAAATGAGGACAGAGTATTACTAATCATCCTTCCAATCGCTTCAGCTTCACAACAGCTGGAGTATAAGATAGGTTTCAAAACATACCTGTCCTTTGGAGATGAGATATGCTATAATGGGCATGTGTTGAAATAATACTGCCAGGTGGATGCTGCTGAAGCCTTCCCCATCAATGAGAGTGGGGTCTGCTCCATACTGTAGTAGTAATATGACCATAGGCAAATGCCCTTGTCTGTAAAGAGAGGATAAAAATTATACCGTTTTCTGTAGCTTGCAGAAAAACTTCAGGGAAAAACTGATATCACTAAGACATGAGAGATTTTGGTTCAATATAAACAGTATTTCCTAATAGACTTTTAAAACACTGGAGATTCTCTAGACATATTTCACTTTAAGGCTCCAAACTTAGAGCTATCTATAAAGTCCTTCTTGAGTGCTGGTAATACACTTAATAACCTCCCAATCTACTATAAATCTTATGTTGCTACCACATATAAGTAATAACTTTACATGACTAATGCCCAAAATGAAAACTTTAAAACCACTTAAACTGCATTGTTGCTATTTTAAAAAACAAGAAATAATGATGAGTCAGATACAATGAAGTACAACATTCACAGACTACAGGAATACTGTGATAATATTATTTATTCTTAGAAACTACATACTTTTACACTTGATTGTGGCTCATTTTCCATGTAAAGCACTGTATCTTGCTAGCTTAAAAGGGATGAGTTAACCTAGATTCTTCAAAATTCTTGGATATGGAAAAAAGATTTCACTCCTTTTCTTAAATGCACAATTACTCATTTTAGTTTTGGGTTCATGCCAACCCCACCAACCAGAGACTGGGATTAAAGTGACAGATGAAGAAATTATTAAGTATCAAGACATAGCGTCTGGGTGGCTCAGTAGTTAAGCATCTGACTTTGACTCAGGTCATGATCCATGGGTCCTGGGATCGAGCCCTGCATTGGGCTCCCTCCTCAGCAGGAAGCCTGCTTCTTCCTCTCCCACTCCCTCTGCTTGTGTTCTCTCTCTCACTGTCTCTCCGTCTCTCTCAAATAAATAAATAAAATCTTAAAAAAAAAAAAAAAAGAAAGAAAAAAAGAAACCCCCCTTAAAAAAAAAAAAAGGTATCAAGATAGGCACATATCAACTACAGCTTCAAAAGCCAATATATAGCAGAGAAAAGAACTGACTGAAATGGGTATTAAGGAGGGTACTTGTTATGATGAGCCCGGGGTGTTGTATGTAAGTGATGAATCACTGAATTCTACTCCTGAAACCAATATTACACTGCATGTTAACTAACTGGAATTTAAATAAAAATTGGGGGTGGGGGGAGAACTGAGTTTACAGTTCTCTGAACTATAGCTTTATCCACGTGATCAGATATAAAGATACTTATTTTGATTATAAGGAAATATAACACACATACTTGAGTTTAAGCATCACAGTAGAAACCTAAATTAAACACAAAAACACACTATCTCTGGAAACTCTTTGAAACTATAATTTTTTTTTTTAATGAAGAAAGGGAAAAAAGGGAAAGAAAGCCTTTCAAATGGTCTATAACAGCAGTTTCCAATATGGTAGTTACTAGCCACATGTGGCTATTTAAATTAGTTAAAATTAAATAAAATTAAAAATTCATTTCCCTACTTGCATTAGCCACACTGGCCAGCACAAAACAAAACACTTCCATTATCACAGAAAAGTCACTTTGATTCTGAATAGCACTTTCAGTATTCAAAAAAATCTTTACCTGATGGCCCAGTGAAGAGGAGTCGAATTTAAATCTCCACCCAACTGATCTACTACAGCACCTTTTGAAATATAAAACCTATTAAGAGCAGACATAAATGAAAATAAGACTTAAAACTAAAAATTCATGATGAGAAAGAAAACATTAGTTTTTCCTTGTAATAAATACACGAAAACAGAAATTATAATAACCCTCTCTAGAAGCACTCAGACCTACATGAGATTCAAGGGATTCACATACAGCATCAAACAGATCCCTGGTGAAATATTCTCAGCATTTCAATAATGATTCCTGCTGTCAGGAACATTCCATTAGAACTGACACATCAAATGCACGATAACTACTCACTACATACTCTAATTACCCAGAACTCTTAAAATGGTTTATATTCAAAACATTTAGGATCACACATTCTACTTAACTTGCAAGAAGAAAGGTGAAATTATGTCACTTTTAACAGTTTAGAATTAGAATTACTAGGTGGGATTGAATTCTAAAAATAAGTAGTAAAAAATTAATTCAAAATCCTTTCAGAAAAGTTAGACATTTTGAGTACTTGGCTTTCTATTTTGGGGTCACAGGTGTGATACAGTGTATCAAGTAAACCTAGAAGGTAAAGAGACTTATTTTCTTTTGTGGTTTACAGGAATTATAATATTTATAATTATTATCATTATATTTTATAATATTTATATTTTATTTTATATCCATATTGTATATAAAATATACTATATAATATATAATTTTATATATTTTTCTATATATAATATTCTATAAATATATTTTTTTCTATATATAATTTTATATGTATTTTCTATATATTTGATTTTATATATTTTATATTTATTATATTTTATAATATAGCAGCAGATAAAAATATACAGCAGATAAAAATAATTTTATTATATTTTATATAAAATACATATTTTATATATTATATAACGTATAATATTTATTATGATATTTTTATGATATAATTATATTTATAATTATTATAATTATAATATTTTAAAGTTGTGCTTCATATATCATATTATCCAAATAGTATTCTAGTTTATTTCCACAGAAAAGGTATTTGCCTGTGAGTATAAAGTATGTTTATTTTAGTATATTTTAAATGTTAGTCCATTTTTATTTTCTTAAACACCAGGATTTTTAAATATTATATAATACAAAAATACACATTCACATGCACACATATATTTTACATGCTAAAGTATAAAATAAAGAAACAAACCAAAAAACCCTGGGTAGGCAGCACCACTCTATGAAGGGGAAATACTTTATACAACTTAATACATGTCTACTTAAAAATGTATTCCGTATGTAGTTTAAAAACGGTTAAATCATTCCCCTACCGATCGACTCCTACTGGGATTATGACAAAGTGCAATATGTTAATGTTTCTCCTAAACTAGATGAAACTTTCTGTTCTAGTCTGAGACAGTTTGTTATGCTTTTCCCTTTCAAAAAATGATGGGGGTGGGGCACCTGGATGGCTTGGTCAATTGAACACCCAACTCTTGGTTTGGGCGAAGGTCATGATCTCAGGATCATGAGACTGAGACCCGCATCAGGCTCTGAGCTCAGCGTGGGGTTCGCTTGAGACTCTCTCTCCCTCTGCCCCTCCCGCTCCCTCTAAAATAAATAAATCCTAACCAAAAAAAGAAAAAAAATTTTTTTGGGGGGTGCCTGGCTGGCTCAGTCAAGGGCACACAATCGCTGATCTTGGGGTTGTGAGTTCAAGCCCCACGCTGGGTCTAGAGCTGACTTAGAAAAGAAAAACAAACACAGAAAAATGTTAAATTTCACTGCCTGAAATTTATCTTTACAATGGGCCCCCTTGGCTTTATCTTCAATTTTTCTTTTAGGGTCCAATGAGAGTCCTGGAATGGATGATCACTAAGGTTCTTTTCAACACTATGATAACCGATGTGTGGGGCACAAAGTTTCAGGTGTTCATTCACAATAAAAGATGACAGATGGCACAACATTCATACTTGTACTTGAAGAAAAAGACAAATGAGGAGAGATCTAGAATAACAAATACACACTTAATTAACACACATATATCCCATCTTACCTTACAAGATCCAGCCTGTTGTTAATAGCAGCCCAATGAAGAAGTGACACATTTTCTTTGTCCGGTTGCCTGACATCATATCCTGCTTCTACCAATTCTTTACAACGTTCAAAAATCCCGTATCTCAAATTTTTTAAAAAAGCATAATTAATACCATTAAAATAATTTCAAATACCAAAACCTCTTCCTTTTACCATGTCTTTAACCTTTCAGTTGACACAGAAGTACAGTAATTAACAAAGACATACACAGAGGGCATACTGTTAAGCCAAACAACAAAAGTAAACCTTATTTACTAACTGACCAGATCAACCTACTTGGGAGTTGAACTTGATTTTCCTAATTAAACTTCAACATTCACATTTCCCCTCCCTTCAGTAAATTTCACATTATCCTCTACTATATGCTAGAAATGTATAGTGCTGATCCCTGACTACAATTCTCTCCCTTAATAAGGGAGAGAGACTAACAGCAAACTTGGAATGGGATAAATTTAACAATACAATGTAGATATGGTATAGTTACAGCAAAGAAAGGAAAGACTAGCCCTTCCTGGAGATGAAGCATGATATATGTGAACTGTTTCACAGGTTGAAGGAAGGCATCTGAGGCCAAGGAAACAGACTGGACAAAAATCAGAGATGAGAAATTCCATGATGTTCAGAGAAATATAAGCGAGTTAGCACAGCAGAAACATAAAGCATTAAAAAAAGGGAATGGCAAGAGACAAGGCTAGAAGAGGTATGCAGAGACTGCGTGGGCCTTCTAGGCCATGCTATGCAGTTTAGACTGCTTAGCTTAAAGGGAAGCCACTGAAGATTTTAAAGAGGAAAGCATACACACTTTGAGTTTTAAGAAGATCACATTAGTGGTAGAATGGAAGTTAATTAGAAGAGAGTGACTCAGGGCGCCTGGGTGGCTCAGTCGTTAAGCATATGCCTTTGGGTCAGGTCATGATCCCAGGGCCCTGGGATTGAGCCCCGCACTGGGCTCCCTGCTCATCGGAAAGCCTGCTTCTCCCTCTCCCACTTCCGTGCTTGTGTTCCCTCTCTCACTGCCTCTCTCTCTCTCTCTCTCTCTCTGTCAAATAAATAAATAAATAATCTTTTAAAAAAGAAGAAGAGGGTGACTCTTGTACAGAAATACAGGTGAGAGCCAAAGAGAACCTAAACTAAGAGATGGAAAAGGAGGGATGGACTTGAGGAATATTTAAGACTGTTACTAAATTACCAGAATGGGAAATGTCTCTTCTTAATGTTATAGTAATTTTTAAAATCATTCATTAGCTTTATTTCTTTCTAACGGTAACTATTAAGTCTCCAACAGACCATTTAGCCTTTCTTTCAGACTTCTTTCCATTTAGAAGGACCCGAATGTTTCAATAGGCCCTCAAGGGTCAAAATCACATTTTAGATTAAATAATTTCTGCCTTACCAAAATGTGTAGGCTTATCAGTCTGTCTTTATGGCACTTTCTAAAAGACAGAAATACCTGTTTGACAATGCTAAGTGAAAAGAGGAGTTAAGAGAGTGAACTGTTGACAATGATACATATATTCATATTCTCCAAGTTTTAAATGTCAACTTTAACATTTTACTGAAAAAGAAATACTTCCCTTATGTGAGAATATAAGAGTACACACTAATGAGGATTTAGACAATGTACATATCCTAGTTCTCTTTGGTCCTTTCCAAATACTACCTAATTATATTCCCACAACCATTTAAGAAGGCCCAAGACCTGGAGGAAATTTCAGGAAAGATATAAAATGCAAGTTTTTACTGAGATTACCTGTGAATGTTGCCTAATTTCTTACATTCATCATAACAGAGCTTAACTGACAGCAGATAAACATTTAAATGCTTCTATGCTAATTAAAGAAATATTTACCTTAAGAACCATTCTTACCTTCATATAAAAATAAGAATAGCAAATAATATTCACCTAAAGGAGCAGTTCCAAGGGCCTCTAGAGTTCATATAAATTAGTAATCAGAATACTAAAATAATCATCGATTGTTTTTAAACATAAATAACACATTAGTCTTTGTTAAGGCTTAACGGGCTAATTAATCACCAAACATCTTTGCTTTTAATAGAAATTATATCAAGTTAATGTGATAACATTAGTTCCTTAATGTTGATTGAAAGCTCTGATGGACAGATTTGTATTTGATTACAGTAGTCAATTAATGAAGCCTGACAGACAAAATATTTCAAAATATGTTCAATGGCAAGAGGCGGGTTGGCTGTTAATGAACAGTGAGATCCATGAGGGTAAAAATGTTAGAAATGAAAAAAAATGTTAGAAATGATTTAATGCAAATATCCACATATGGAAATCTTAAGGGGAAACTTTCAAAACATACTTTCCATTTTCAGTGCAAGCAAATAACCTGCTGTATGTTTCAGGTAGTCAGAAAACCTATTTTACTTTACTGACGTTCTTCCAGTGCCTCTAATACAATAGGTGCATAGAAAATACTCAATAAATAACTGTTTAAAATATCCATAAATGTGTTAGCTGATATTTCTCCCATCCCACTTACCTATTTAGGTTGTAGTACATTTTTAAACACTCAGATTTGTGTTTCAAACTTATACATTTAATATCATTTATAATCATTCATTCACTCAACAAAGATTTATCCAGCACCTGATACAAGACAAGAACTATGCAAAAGCACTGGGACGACAAGGATGAAAACGACATGCTTTTGCTAAGAAGCTACTCTTGACTTAATGGGAGAGACGGGTAATCAAGAGTGAATCAGGTGCACTGCATCAAATGCTCTGACGCTGGCAGGACAAATATGTTAATGTTGAAGTATGAAGTGAGGAAGGTATATACTGGGCTGCCATGAAATGCACAAACATTATTATGATTCAACAGAACACAGGACAAAAGGAAACACTGGGGAGACTTACTGGGTAGCTTTTACAATGTCACAGTTACTAGAGTCCTCTATAAGAGGAAGAGCTTCTCTCGCTTTAGCAAGTTCTTTGCTTTCAGATGCACAGATTCCATGTCGACCAAATCCTGGACGGTGGGGGCCATGGCTGTGATTCCTGCACTGAAGAATAAGAGTAATTTGACATAGCATAGTAGGAGAATTAATGTCACATTCAATTACATAATGAAGCATCTGCTACTGTCAATAGTATCTATTTATGTTCTTAAATGAGAATTTCTTCCAGTCTTACAGGTATATCCTAGGAAAGATTTTCATCTTAATTCTATTCACTAAGATGAGATGCTCATTATGAGAAAATTCCAAATTATATATTTTGTCATAAAACAAAGGTCATTTGCAAAGGCACAAATATACAAAGATAAGAATGAATTCAGACTTCTCACACTTAAGTGCAGACCAGAACACAATACACAGTTTTAAAGAGCTGAGAGAACCGCAAACCTGAAACACCAGCAAAACTATTCTTCAAAAATGGGAGTGAAATACATACTTTTTGAGACAAACAAAAGGTGAGAAAGTTGCCAGCAAACTTATACAAAAAGAAATGATAAAAGAAGTTCTTCAGGCTTAAATGAAAATAATACCATATGGCAATTAAAACAATACAAAGGATCAGAGTACCAGACCACACAAGTAACTATGTATAATTATGTGGGTAAGCATAACGGACATTTTCTCATTTTTTAATTTCTTGATAATTGTAGAAAAGTGGAAGTATACTTGCCAGTATACTTGTAAAAGATGTTGAAACAGTTACAAGAGATACTATAATAGTATTTACAGGTATGCAGTGATAAGGAGTATAATGGTAACCCAAGGGTAACCTCTAAATAAAAAGGTATAATAAGGGGCACCTGGGTGGCTCAGTGGGTTAAAGCCTCTGCCTTCGGCTCAGGTCATGATCATAGGGTCCTCGGATGGAGCCCTGCATTGGGCTCTCTGCTCAGGGGGAGCCTGCTTCCCCCTCTCTCTCGGCCTGCCTCTCTGCATACCTGTGATCTCTGTCAAGTGAATAAATGAAATCTTAAAAAAAAAAAAAAAAGGTATAATAAGCCAAGAGCAGAGACAAAATAAAATATATTAAAGACACCCAATTAATATTTTTTTAAAAGGCAAGAAAAGGGGTTCCTGGGGGGCTCAGTCAGTTAAGCATCTGACTTCCGCTCAGGTCATGATCCCAGGGTCCTGGGATGGAGCCCGACATTGGGCTCCCTGCTCAGCGGAGACTCTGCTTCTCCTCCCTCCTACCCCATTTGTGCTCTCTCAAATAAATAAATAAAATCTTTAAAATAAATAAATAAATAAAAAGGCAAGAAAGGTAGGAAAAAATGAACAAAGAACAGAGAAGAAAAAAGAAAAACATACAAGATGATATATTTTCACCTAACCACCATATTGAAACTCTACTGGGATACTGCTTTGTGGTCACACCCTCCCGCTACCTCAACTTCTGCCAATCACTGATACATTCTTCATCACTAGTTTCATCTTTTCCAGAATGTCATGTAATGGAATTCTAAAGCATATAATCTTCTAAGATTGGCTTCTTTCACTCAACATAATGCTTTCTGAGACTCAATCCAGTGGTTCTGTCTTATTAATAGTTCTTTCCCTGCTGTATAATATTCCATTACATGAATGTATCACAGTTTATCCATTCAAACAATCCAGGCAAGTTGTTTCCAGCTTTTGGCAATTTTAAGTAGAGCTGCCATAAACATTCATGTACAAAACTTTTGTATGAACATACGTTTTTGCTTCTGTAAGAGTGAGATTGCTTGGCCATCCGATGATCTATGTTGAATTTACAAGAAATCGCCAAACTATTCTCCAGAGTGGCCGTACCAGTTTGCATTGCCACCAGCAATGTATGAGAGTTCCAACTGCTCTACATGCTCACTGGCACCTGGTATGGTCAGTGTAACAGATAGGTAGCAGTACAGCATCATGGTCTTAATCTGCATATCCCTAATGGCTGAAGTTGAGTATCTTCTCATATGTTTATTTGCCATCTGTATATCTTCTTTGGAGAATTGTCTTTTACCCATTTTTTAATTGGGCTGTTTTCTCACTGTTAAGTTTTGAGAGCTCTTAACATTATACATTCCATACAAGTCCTTTGTGTCTCGATTTGCAAATATTTTCTCCCAGCCTGTAGCTTATTTTCCCATTTCTTAGAAGTCTCTTTCATATGGCAAACATTTTAATTTTGATGAAGTCCAATTTAGCAATTATTTTCTTTTATGAATCATGCTTTGGGTGTCACTTCTAAGAACAGCTATCTTGGCACCACAACTCCACTGTTCAAAGAGGAAGTTCTCCTCCCCCGGAGTTTCAGGCACCTGTGCTGCCAGGAGACCTCCTTCTTGTTCCTTGAACTTGAACTAGAGGGTTTCTCCTGGAGCGCTCTGTCTCACTAATCCTTACTTCGATGGTTCAAGTTTAGGCATGGCAGGGAACAGGGAAGGAGACCAAGTCGGGGGGAAAATGTAAATTAGCTCCTGGTTCAGTAGTTTTTTGAATTCTGGTCTTTCCTCCCCACCTACTGTTACGATTTACTTCTCAGAATCCTTAAATAGCTGCTACTTACATTCTGCCCAGTGCCTTCAGTGGGACAGGTAAATGCTTACTCCACCTTACTGAGAACCAGAACCACAAATGCTCTTTTGAATAGTGAGTTCTGCTTTATCTGGTGAATTCAACCTCCCTACTTCACACTCCTTATAACCAAGCATACTCACACACAGCTAAAAATAAACATATAGGTAGTTAGATTAAAACAGAAATAAGAACATTACTTTAGGATTCTTTTCATCATGTCACAGCAATTATAATTATATCCGATTGGAAGAAGACAAGCTGTTAAGGAAGAGTTGAACTACAGTCAGAATTACTACAGTTTAGTCATTCCTCCCACCTCTTGTGACAATTCAACTTTTCTTTTTATTAAATTCTTAAATTTCTACCTTGAGGATGAAGGACAACCTATTTTTTAATAAAGGTCTGGGTAGTCCTGAACTTAAATCAGGACACTGACATTAATGTGTCAGTAAACAGCAGATTAGTTAAAATTGACAGAGTGGTCAGTCGACCTTTCACATCAACATTATTATTTTTTTTTAATTATAAATTGAATCACATTCATTTTAAAGATCTGGCAATATAAAACTGAACAAAGGATAAGCAAACCTGGACTATTTTCTTTCCAATCTTGTAACAACAGAGATACTATTATTAGGAGTTTGGTGTATCCCTACCTCACTGTGTATATAGTTGACCCTTGAACAACAAGGTTTGAATTACACGGGCCCGCGTACATACAGATGTTTGTTGATAAATCCAGCATAGTACTGAAATGTATTTCCTCTTCCTTATGATTTTCTTAACATTTGCTTTTCTCTAGCTTACTTTTTGGTAAGAATACAGAACATAACACATATAACATACAAAATATGTGTTAATCAACTGTTCTCGTTATCAGTAAGGCTTCCAGTCAAAAGCAGGCTATTAGTAGTTGAGTTTTTAGGGAGCAAAAGTAACATGAATTTTTTAAGTGTGGGGGGGTCAGCGCCCCTAAACCTGGTGGTGTTGCAGAAATGTAGGCTGATTTCAGCCTTCACTTCTATAAAGAATGTTACAATGAAGAGCATTTGTTTTTCCAGCAATAAATTATTGTGTATATATGGCATACAAAGTGTTATGCTAGAGGCATGAAAACCATCAGTGTCTATCTTCTAGGAGTTTAAGTCTAATAGAATCTAATAGAGACAAACAGAGTAAAATGATAATGGAAGGCAACATGAGATTAAGTGGCAAAATTGGGTGGTAAAGACTAAGGGACAGGAGGTACCTCCTGTTCACATCATCACTTTTTGCCGAAATCTTAAGCAGAGTAAAACCTAAGAAATGATTATATAAACTCAAAGCCTTTTTGAAGTCAGTGGTCTCCAAAGCCAGGCAAGGCCACTCAAGGCCATATATGCAGTGATCCACTGGGCAATGGGAGAACATGGTAAAGCTTCTATTATAATGACTTCTATCTTTTTTTTAAAAAGAGCACATCACAAGTATTTACAAATCCAGTTCTTTAAGCTTTACTAATTTTAGCACTGCCAGCCTCTTTTGATTTGTACATCAAGCAAGTCATCCTTACGGTCTGTTTACAAGGTGACTTGGAAGTGGAGTAAAAGTTCCACCACCCACAGGGCTTGACAGGGTGAAGTGATGCGGGAAGAAATGGCACTGGACAGAAAGTGCTCGGCTTCTAACACTGTCCCAGATGACTGCAGCCTGTTCGGGGCGTTGTGAAAGCAAGGGAAAGTTCCGTGTAGTGCAGAGAGTACCCTGGTCAGCTGTGTGGGGGAGTCTAAGGTACCTGCCATATACCTGTCCCAAACAACAACACAGTGGAGGAACTGTCCTTCACACCCACCTGTGCTCCCCGTTCCTTAGAAGGGCAAAGGCGCAGAGGGTGTGGCAGGGATGGGAGGGCAGACCTTCAGCATACTGCAGTATACATCAGGTTAAGTTAATTTTCAAGTAAAATCATCTAATTTTAACTAAGTTACCCCTCCCAAAATAAGCATGTGGCTTACACTGAAGGCCAAGAAGTTGGACAACAATAATAGCGTAAGTCCAAGCAAACAAGAAAAGGCAAAGCTGACACTTCTATGCATATCTTCAGTATTGCCTGAAGTAACAACAAAGACAATCTAACGTGATTTAACAAAAAGCCAGCCTCCCTCCAAAAAAAAAAAATCAAAATTATCAAAGAGACTAATTTGAAACAGGTTTCATTTTTTTTTTAAAGATTTTATTTATTTATTTGACAGAAAGAGAGAGAGAGCGATCACAAGTAGGCAGAGAGCTCGGCAGAGAGAGAGAGGGGGAAACAGGCTCCCTGCTGAGAAGACAGCCCAATGTGGGGCTCGATGCCAGGACCTCGAGATCATGACCTCAGCCGAAGGCAGAGTCTTAACCCACTAAGCCACCCAGGTACCCCGAAACAGGTTTCTATTTATTATCTTTAATTCAAAACCTTACCACGAGTATATACTGAGCTATCAATCAATGAATAGAATTCAGAAACATATTGTCAA